AGCTTAAGAAACAGTTCAGCCCTTTGTTCAATACATGTTCAGTTTTTAATGTTGACAAGATTGTGAGCCGCCCCGAGGCTTTGTTGCGAAGGGGGCGGCATAGAAATGTTTTAAATAAATAAATAAGATTGCTTCATCTCACATTGGGGTCCACACTTTACAGCATGATTTTTGAAAGAACTGCTAGGACTCTTGCAAATAGATCTCTGGCTTTTCTCAGCATATCTTCCAGAAATAGATAGGCAAATAGAATGCAGCAATGACATGCTAGAGCAGTATTACTAGTTATTACATTTCTATACCACCCGTAGCCAAAACTCTCTGGGCAGTTTACCAAAGGTATAAAAACAATAAAATGCAATGGATATAAACAAATAACTATTTTAATTTAAAATAGCATAGGGAAGTTGCTTCCTGTTTTTTCAGTTTTCAACGAATCAAAACAGTTGCACAACATTTTTGTTTCCCAGGAAGCTACCTATCTCCTAAGAACCTTGTTATTTTGCTGCTCTTGTTTTGTTTGTTTGTTTGTTTGTTTGTTTGTATTCTTGAGTTCCATCTCCCATCTGTCCTTCAAAAAGCAGGGCAGGATCCAACATCAGAATCTAAGCTCTTTAATTTAACTCAAAAAGGTGCCACAACTCTGTTGTTAATATTATCAATGTATTTCTAGGCTTTCCAAATCATATAATATTTTCAGAAGCAGTATCTTTAGCTTAAAACAAGCCAGATTCATCTGAACTTCCTGCTGAGCAAGAAAATGCAAAGTAAGAACCTGGGAGCCATTCTCAACAAGAGTGGTCTTACAGATTACTTTAAATTTTTTCTTGACTAGTTGCACATGTCTCTGTACATTAAAATAAATAAAAATACATTTTGGATTCTGGGTGGTGGGCAAGTACCTTCCTTGCAGGCTCCTACAGCTACCTACTTCTTTGAAGAAGCATGGAATTGGACATGGAGATTTTGGGAGGGATGAGGATGGATTCTCTTCAGGGAAAAGAATCAGGAGACCATAGCACTTTGTTACCTTTATTCCATCCTTCAGCTTTGTTATAATTTTCTACATGTGGAAGGTGGCTGACTGCAAAAGGAAATACCCTGTATTTGTGGAAGTTCTTACTGAGATTCTTGAAATGAAATAATGATAGATATCCTATTTATCATATAGGTAAACTTGCAAAAAGTAGATCTAAGCACACACACTTACATTTAAGCCCTGCCACCCACCATTGTTCTCAATACAGGGGAAATTGCTGTGATTTTGTCTGCACTAGATTTAGTGCTCCCCCATTGCTTCCAATAAATGCAAAGCCACTGGGATTTTGTCTGCATTGGGTAAACTAAGCTCAGGCTGACCTGCTTACTCTCATTACAGACAGAATGACCCAGATTATTATGACTGATAGAAGAAAACTGTGCACATGTGTCTTCTAGCCGCACTGGTTTGTCTATGAAATGGTATGCTCATGTATTAGCACATTTTGTGATATCCCACATGGCAGCTGTTCTGTAACACATACCCCTGACATTCTCAAAAATCTAAATGTGCCCATGGGCCTGAAATGGTTGGAAACATTTTTAGGACAGTTGAAATTTCTTTGAAAATGGCATTTCTTATCTGCATACACTTTTTTTTTTTTAAGTACAGCATTGCATCTGGTCACATGGGTTTTGGGAGAATACAAATTCATGCCAAACTTAACAATTAACGGCAACACTGGAAAAAGTGCCTGTCATTTCAAACCTCCCTGAAGGACTGACCTCCCTCACCACATTTTTCTGTTTTTACTCTGAAAGGTACTTTGTAGCAGGGCAGTGTTGGGGGACAGCTCTTTAGGGCTGGTGGCCCAGATCTTTCATTTAGAGCACTCTCCAGGAGGCTCTCCTGCCATAGGCAGTTGCTGAATGGTACAGGGATCCTGATGATATTTGTTGCATCTGATGTCCCTGGATTAGTTTTTTGTTGTTGTTGTTCACATGTGTTTCACCACCTTCTGACTCCCCCTTGCATCTTTGTGCCTGTGTTTTATTTCTGAAATCTAATGTCCTTTTTGATCCTGTTTATACATTCCTTTTTACAAATATAGTTGTCCTTAGGAGACAGGATCCTTTAAAGATGCCGAGAAAGAGAGAGAGAGATTGGAGAGCATGTGTACATTAGCATATACAAATGTGTAGTTCTGTTGATGTTATGGTTGCTATTTTGTGGACCTTTGTTTTTTCAATACCTAGCACCAACCCATTTCACACCAGTGTAATTATTATTAATTACCAATTATTAATTACCAATTATTGCAATGTCCATGTTTCAATAAGTTTTGGCCAGCATAAATATCTCTTGTTACTCCTTTATTTCTAGAAGGCAGAAAATAAAATTCAACTCCTTAAGTATGTTAAGCTAAAATGCTGACCTCTGGATTCCCTTCTATGTTAATCCTTCATTAGGAACTTTCCTTATTTTCCATCTGTTTACCCTCATAAGTGGGTCAGCATTTATTTTCTCTCATCTGCAATCACAGTGGCTGGTAGAGTCATACAAGTCCAGCTTGCCTAATTAAATGGTAATGTTTATGCTCAACTTACTATTAAAACATAAATACAGTTACTGGATCAGTTATCTTAGAGGTGTACCCAAAATATAGCTGGGCAGTTTGTTTGTTTGACAGCTGTCATTCTTTGAATGTCATATATTTGTATCTGTAACTATAGCTATAGTATAAGAAAATGAAAACCACCACATTCCTAATCAAGTCCTGAGCACATTTTTCTTATGACTAGTGCGTTTGATAGCTGATGATTTTTCTGACAAATAGTGTCTCCTGCATTATTTATTCTAGAATAATTGTTATATCGGATTAAATCTCTTGAAGACTTGGGCTGATATTAAGGGGATCACTCTTGGAAGAACTGTGAAATAAATGGAACATATGTGTGTGACTGGAAGGAGTGTGCAAAAATCCCATTTAGAAGGTGTTTTTTCAATTGGTTAGAAAAGTGAGTTTCAAACTGTGTTCTAGGAAGCCTAGTAGAAGGAGGGAGAGTTTCTTAGAGGCCTGTCAGAACTTTTCCACAGAAAAATTCAGTAGCAATACACAGATTTCCTTAACATGTAATCCTATACATGTTTAGACAGGAAATGTTGTAAGACTTTCTTTAAGTCTGAATATGTGTAGAATTGCACTCTTTAGTTTGCACTGGTAAGCAAGCCAGTGTGGTGAAGTAGTTATAAAGTATTGGACTCAGGAGATCTGAATCCCCACGTAGCCTGGAAGCTCACTGGATTACTGACTCTCAGCCTAACCTAGAGGGTTTGGTTGTGAGGATAAAATAGGAAGAACAGGATTGTGTGAGCCACTTTGAGTTCCTTGCAGGGTTTCTTTAGGAAGTATCAGTGGGGCCTGAGCTTATACATGCAGAAGAGGATGAGAGAGAGCAACACTGAACTAGCATATTCTATCTCCAACCCAGTGGGGAAAAATCAGTGAGCAATTTATAAAAGAACTAGGATTTATTACATAGGAAAGGAAGCCAATCATCAACACTTGTAAACAATTTGAAGTATCTAAATAATAAAAGGAAATAAAGGGAAGGGAGTCATATCGAGGCAGTGGGCCTCATTGTTTGTCTGAGGTGCTGCTAACTCAATTCTGCCAAGAACCCTCCCTCCAATCCACCTCCTTTTTCTTTTCTTTTAGGAGTGCAGCAGCAGTCCTCAGAATTTGCATTCTGGCTCCTTTGGGTTGTGCTTGATTGTGGCTAGGAAGTAACTCCTTACCCATGGTACTATCATTTTTGTAAACTGATCATTCATGAGGGTGTTGTAAAATTGATTTTTGAGAATGGGGAGCAGTACAACAATGGGACCAGTTGTGTAGGGAGCTTGTGGGCTCTGCCACATTAGAGGCATTGAAGATGCAACTGGACAGCCATCTGAGAGGGATGGTTTAAATTGAAGTCTTGCACTGACCAGGAGTTTGGATCCATTAGCCCTCTGGCCCCTTAAAACTCTATTATTTGATGATTCTGTGAAGTTTTAGAACAAGTACAGAAATGGGAAAATGTTTGATCAGATTCAGAACACCAAAGCAATAAACAATTCAGTGGCAAAAGACTAAAAAATATGTTCTCCTGGTGCTTATGTCAGGTCTTTCCCCATTTGTTTGAGGAAAAGCTACACCTGGGTGTTTGAACCAGAGAAACCTTGGTGCAATATCCCCTGGTGCCTGCTTCTAAGTCCCCTTACTTCCTAGAAGTTTTGTTCATGGCATCCATACTGAAAGAGAAGGATCTCCAACTTCCTTTTCCTATGGAATACATCTCCTCTAGTCTCCTTGCTTGGGCGGAAACTTCAGAAGAACTCCTGTTTTTGTTTTCTGATGGTTTGATAATGGATGTTTGGAGATTTGACAATGATTAGGCATTTGGACAGCTTACAAGTGAAGGCACTTGGCTTTGAGATGACTTCAGCCAGGGCATTTGCATTGTAATGCCAGAATCCGGGTGGCCTGGCAGAGACCTACAGCTAATTTTCTAGATACATTTCAATCAGGTTTCAGGGCTGAGTTTGGGAGGGAGATGGCCTTGGTCACCCTGTTAGATAAACTTTGAAGGGAGAGAGACAGGGGGAGTGCGATGCTGTGGATTCTCCTTGAGCTCCCAGCAGCTTTTGACACCATTGACCATGGTGTCTTTCTGGACAGGTTGGCCGGGATGGGACTCAGAGGTACTTCATTGTGGTAGTTCTGCTCTTACTTGGCTGACCGTGTCCAGATGGTGGTGCTGGGGGGCGGGGGCAACAGCTGTGCCCCATGGCCTTCGCACCATGGAGTTCTGCAGGACTCTGTGCTGTCCCCCATGCTTTTTAACTTATACATGAAACCGCTAGGAGAGGTCATCAGGAAGTTTGTGCTGAGGTGTCAGCAATATGCTGATGATACTCAGCTCTACCTCTTGTTTTCATCTGATCCAGGTGAGGCTGTTTTTGTGCTAGACTGAAGGATCTGATAGATGATGTACAGATCAGGGGAGTGCCGGATGCGAATGATCACTCCACCCTTTGCTTTGAGGTCAGGGAAATAGGACGTGCTGCAGGTCGAGCACTAAAAGCTGGGACTTCAAGAGGGCCAACTTTGGCCAACTGAAGACCAGACTGGGGAAAGTCTCCTGGGATAGATTAGTGGAAGGCAAGTGAGTTGAGGAGGGGTGGATAGCACTCAAAAGGGAGGTTTTGGAGGTGCAAGCCTGGATGATACCTCTAGTCAGTAAGGTGGGGAGGCGGAGGAGAGTGCCGCCATGCATGCGAAAGGAGGTGGTTAGAGGGATTAGACGAAAGAGGAACCTCCGTAGGAAATGGGTACTGGGGGAAATGGACAAAAGGGTATACCGGGAGGAGGAGGCCCGTTGCAGAAGGATTCTTCGCAAGGCTAAGGCTGATTAGGAGCTGAGACTTGCCAAGAATATCAAGAGCAACAAAAAGGGCTTCTGTCAGCATGGAAATAGCAAGAGGAAGGGTAGACAAGTGGGGGGACCACTAAATAAGGAGGAAGGAGATCCAGTGGCTGATGTGAGGGAACAGGCACAGATGCTAAATGACTATTTTGCCTCTGTGTTCTTCTCAAAGCAGGACAGGGGATATCCGCATAGGAGATTAGATGAGGCTGGGGACTTAAGGGCACAGATTAGAGTCACCCCCACTAGAAGTCGAGGGGCTCCTCAGGGCATTGGACGTTACCAAGGCGCCAGACCCTGACGCGTTACACTGTTGACAGAGTTGGCAGGGGTTCTCTCACACCCGCTGGCCTCTATTTTTGAGGTCTCATGGAGAACGGGTGAAGTTCCACTGAGGGTGGCGTCAGTGGTCCCAATTTTCGAAAATGGCAGTAGAAGGGACATGGGGAATTACAGACCAGTTAGCCTTACGTCCATTGTAGGAAAGACAATGGAAAGGCCCATAATAGAGAGAGATCTAGTGATGCTAGATAGGGAAGGGAGGCTGACAGCCACACAACACGGCTTCCGCAAAAACAGGTCCTGCCAGACAAACCCTGTGGAATTCTACGACAAGGTTTTGAGGTGGCTGGATGGAGGGGATGCAGTGGATGTAGTATACCTGGATTTCAGCAAGGCCTTTGACAAAGTGCCCCATGATATCCTGGTGGAGAAACTGAGGAGTTTAGGGATAGACCAAAGCACTGTCCGATGGATTAGGACATAATTGACTGACCGAAAACAGAGGGTAACCATTAGTGGGGAATCATTGGGATGGCGGCCAGTGACAAGCGGGGTCCCCCAGGGCTCTGTCCTGGGGCCGATCCTGTTTAATCTCTTCATAAATGACATGGAAGAAGGGGTGAACAGTCTGCTGATCAAATTGGCAGACACTAAAACTGGAGCAGTGGCCACAACTGAGGAGCAGGTGATCCAGATCCAAAAGGATCTGGACAGACTATGGAAGTGGGCAGGAGACAACAGGAGCGTGTTCAATGTAGATAAGTGCAAGGTCTTGCACTTGGGGCATAGGAATGGGTGTCATAAGTACAGGTTAGGGGACAAGTGGCTGGAGAGCAGCACTTGTGAAAGGGACCTCAGGGTCCTGGTTGACTGCAGGCTAAACATAAGGCAGCAGTGTGATGTGGTGGTCAAGAGGGCAAACGCCACCCTTGGTTGCATAGCCAGAAGTGTGGCTTCTAGATTGAGAGAGGTATTTATTTATTTATTTATTTATTTTATTTAGAAAATTTCTATGCCGCCCCATTCGCCAAAGCCTCGGGGCGGCTTACAAATAAATCAATTAAAATACTATAAATTAACAATATAAAACAAGTTAACAATATAAAATAAGTCGCCCTGGCCAACGAATAAAATAAATAAATACCATTAACAGTTAAAATGATGTTTGAATAAAAAGGTCTTCGCCTGGTGCCGAAAAACAAATAATGACGGCGCCAGGCGGACCTCTCTGGGGAGCGCATTCCATAAATTGGGCGCCACCGCAGAGAAAGCCCTCCTCCGAGTACTTACCCTCCTAATTTCCTTCACGGAGGGTTCCCGGAGAAGGGCCTCTCCCGCTGATCTCAGGGGGCGGCCGGGCATATATGGATGTAAGCACTCCTTCAGGTAACCAGGACCCAAGCCGTTTAGGGCTTTATAGGTCATCACCAACACCTTGAATTGGGCCCGGACTTCAATGGAAAGCCAGTGAAGCTGATGGAGGACTGGAGTCATGTGAACATAACACCCAATCCCTGTCAGCAGCCTGGCAGCTCTATTTTGAACCAATTGAAGTATCCGGACCCTTTTCAAGGGTAGCCCCACGTAGAGCGCGTTACAGAAGTCAAGTCGGGAAGTCACCAACGCATGTGTCACTGTCACCATGCAGTTGTACTCCAGGTAGGGGCGCAGCTGATGGATCAGCCGAAGCTGAAAGAAAGCGCTCCTCGCCACCGCTGTCACCTGAGCTTCCAGTGAAAGCTCTGGGTTGAGGAGCACTCCCAAGCTGCAGACCTTGTCCCTAAGAGGGAGTGCAGCCCCATTCAGGACTAGGTTCAATTCACCCTCACCGAAGCCCGATCCACCAACCAACAGGACCTCCGTCTTGTCTGGATTGAGCTTCAGTTTATTGGCCCTCATCCAGCCCATTACCTCAGCCAGGCACTGGTTCAGCACAGCCACTGCCTCACCTGGATTGGTGGAAAACGAGAGGTAGAGCTACTCTGTACGACTCTGGTGTGCCTGCAAGTGGAGTATTGTGTTTGGGTCCTTCATTACAGGAAGGATATAGCCAGGTTAGTGTCAGTGCAGCGTAGGGCCACATGGTTGGTGGCTGGTTTGCAGGGGATGGGGTATGAGGCAAGACTGAGGGAACTGGGTCTCTTCAGCCTGGAGGAGACTCCGAGGGGATCTGTTGGTGACGTACAGGTATGTGAGGGGATGTCACATGGAGGTGGCTAGAGACCTGTTCTCCCCTGCAGAGGAAGGCAGGATGTGCTCCAATGGAGCAAAGCTCAGGGAACCAAGATTCCATTTAGATGCCAGGAAGCACTTCCTGACTGTTAGGACCCCAAGGGTATGGAATGGGCTTCCACGGCAGGTGTTTGAGGACTTATTATTGAGGGTGTTCAAAGATAGGCTAGACATGCAAATGGTGGGCATGTTATGAGCACAGCTGGCTGGAGCCGGCGGTCAGACTAGATGGCCTGGGAGTCTCCTTCTGACTCGCTCTGTTTCTATGTTTCTCTTGAAGATGGTCCGGAAATTGCAGCTGGTACAGAATGGAATGGTGACAATGATAATGGGTGTACCTTTTGGGGTGTACATCACCCCAGTGTTGAGGCACTGGTCACCAGTTGCCACCCAGACCCAATTCAAGGTGCTTGTTATGACATATTAAGCCTTTAACGGCTTAGGGCCCAACTACTTAAAGGACCACCTTCTCCCATATGAACCTGCCCGTCCTTCAAGATCAGGCCAGGAGGACCTTCTGCAAGTGCCATCCCTCAAAGATGTGAGAGGGATGGCAAACAAAGGGCCATCTTGGAGGCTGCTCCCTGCCTCTGGAATAGTCTCCCCCAGGATGTTCACCTGGCACTTTCTCTATTACTGTTTCAGCACCAGGCAAAAATGTTTTTAATATCTTTTTTAGTAATTGATCCTGCCCTCTTCCTCTATGCTTGCTTTGTTATGTCTATAGTTTGGTTTTAAGTATTGATAATGAAGTTTTATTCTCAATTTATTGTTTATTCTTGATTGGTATTGTTACATGTATTTTTATCGTTTATTGTAAGCTGCCTTGAGACTTTGGTAGTAGGTGGCATATAAATGGAAGTATTAAATGAATGAATGAATGCAAAAGGGATCTTTCTGCCTTGTAGCCCTGGGTAAGGTGGAGTCAGTATGGTCAGCCTCAATGGGTCATGGCAGACTGACCATAACACACAGAGAACCTGATTGAGCTCTGTATGGAAAGGAAAGGTAGAATAATTCTGTGCTGCAGCAGTAAAAGCTGCTTCACTGAGGTAGCCCAGGAGGGGGAGATTCCTCCAAAACAGAGATACAGTAGTCCCCCGAAATTTGTGGGGGTTATGTTTCTAAAGCACCCGTGAATTGTGAAAAACCGCAAATTTGGTGCCGGTGATGGGTGCCGGCTGCCAAGGCGGTGCGGGTGGGAGGCATGGGCCGGGCTGGGGGGGGGGGGTGCGCACATATGTGGCAGGGGCAAGCGTGCACAGAGATCGTTTTCTCCAAGCAAATCCAAACTCAAGGCGCTGGCTTACTCACAAGGAGATTGGCTTGGACTCATTCAGAGAAAAATCCTGCGAAAGACTGAAGCCGCAAACGCTGAACTGCGACTTCATGGGGGTATACTGTTTCTGAACTAGATTTTAAAGACATGCATCTTTCCTCCACTCATGTACTACATTTCTTAGATCTTGCCCAGCATAGTTTCAGTCTGTTCTCCTTGGCAAAAAATTAAAGTAGCCCATTCTAGAAGTGAAATAAGACTCAATATCATTAAATGAAGCTAATGTGGTCAAGATGATAATAATGTTTATGAACATGAATGTAAAATACAGAGCTTAACAGACCCTCCCCCCATTTAAAGATTCATGAGCAACCTTTTTGCTCCCTACTATAGTGAGATTTTTCAAAGATTGAATTGAAATATTGAAATATTGTCAATGGTGTTAATGATGAAACAAACCAATAGTGTAATCTATAACTATATTCAGAAGTAACCCCTATTTAGTTCAACAGAATGTATTCCCAGGTAAAGGATTGAAGTTGCCTAAAAGTATTTAAACTATTATTTATTTAATTTCTATACTGCCCAACAGATTTTGTCCTGGAAGTGTCTAGCAAATATATTACAGCAAGTCTCAGAGGGCTGCAAAATGCCCTTGGGGCCAGCATCTGCCCCAGAGCAGGGGTTGGCAACCTTTAAAACTCAAAGAGCCATTTGGACCCGTTTCCCACAGGAAAAAAAAAAAAAAACACCAGGAGCCGCAAAACCCTTTTGACATCTAAAATGAAGATAACACTGCATATATAACACTGCATATATCATTTTTTACCTTTATGCTATGTATAAAAAACTATAGTGTCTTGCATATATGAAATCAATGAACTGCTACAGAGAAAACAATTTTTTATTTCTGCATGCAACAAAAACATTTTGAACTCCTAAAAAAGACAAGGAAGTA